ATGGAATACTTGCACAAGAATAAAGTGATACATCGTGATTTGAAAAGTCCAAAGTAAGTTTTGACCAATTATTTCATATTCAAATAGTACCGCTTCCCAAAAAATCGATATATTGATTAAGCTGCGTATTTTTCAGGCTTGTTGTCGTTCTGTTCGTTTTATTCTGGTGAAAATAAATTTGAACATAAAGTTGAATGATCACACAGCATGCCTACATGAAAAATACGCAGCCAATATTGAGAGATGTGCAAATTTTTGCGCGAAATTTGTTTTCACCTACAGTATCCTGTTCGACGAGGATGGTGTGGTGAAGATTTGCGATTTTGGCACTTCACATCAACAGAAGAAGCAGAACAGCACGGTCATGTCGTTTTGTGGTACAGTAAGTTGGATGGCACCGGAAATGATCAAAAAGCAGCCATGTTGCGAGAAGGTGTGCTATATGCCCGGTTCCAATCCTATCAACTACTGTAGGTGTGCTTTTTTTAGGTTGATGTATACTCCTATGGTGTTGTACTATGGGAGCTGTTGACGAGAGAGCAGCCATACAAGAACATCAACCAGATGGCGATTATCTATGGAGTAGGGTCAAAGTAAGTGCAATTCATCCATTCTTATTGGTTTGGCCTTCCCACTTACTCTGCTGTAATTGGCTAAATCCCTAATGGGCTTCAGTAATATCAGGAAAATAAACTTCCATAAATTGTTTTCTACGGTTGTTGACTTAATAGCCAATAAAAATTACAGTAACCTCTCACTTCCCATACCGGAAACGGCCCCGGACGGTTTGAAAATGTTGATGCGACAGTGTTGGAGCACTACCCCAAGGAATCGACCATCATTTACCCAGTGCTTGAAATACATGGATATACTCTATGCTGAGTTCAAGGAAATGGGTGATGAGGTGGGCGGAACTTACCCATCTATCTAATAATTGATCTTGAGCATACCTATTTCAGGAGTTTTTCCGACGATCTGCTAAATGGCGGGCAGATGCGGCTAATATAGTTTACCCAGCGACGATTACCAAAGGGGAGGCTCTGAATTTCGCTGAACGTGAATGCGGTAAGCTAAGTAAGTCTTTATTGGGAGGGGCGTATATGACATTCCGGCCAATAGCAACTGAGTATTGGC